AATTAGAAAGGTTGACCGAGTAAGCTATTTGAAATTTGAGTTTTTTAAGTTGAAAACGTTGAAAAACGTTTAAGTTGAAAAACGAACTGCTGTCTTGGTCACTTTATTTCTTTTTGTCAATCTAAATTATTTAAGCCTACTGCAAAAAAAGAATGTTAAACTGCTATAAATTTATCTGCTTTCTGCTGGTTTTTGTGCTTTCAGCAATCAAAATAATCTTTCACAATGTTTGGTGCCTAAAAATTATTTTAACATTTTTTAGACAGTTATCCCCGTTAGTAAAGGGTAGTGGAAGTCAGATCTAAAAGTTTTATTCTTCTGTACTGTCGCACCTCAGATGTAACTGCTAACGATAGTTACTGATAGATACACTGAACCAGAAATAAACCACTTGAAATATGTTTGAAACTGCAAAATAATAATGTAAACTTTGGTATTAGCATTTAGCTAAAGAAACATTAAAGTTACATTGTTGACGAGCTGACTGCCTCAAAGCGGAAAGAACACTAAAATTTTTATTTTCAAAAGCATCAAAAAAGGTCTACTGCACTGAAATTCCATTTCAAAAACTGAAAATTTATAGACTACTTCAGGTAAATTTTAGTAATATCTTCTTACCAGCGGATATATAGTTTCGGCTGTAAAATGGAATGAAAAATTTCTTGTAGCTTTTATTCATTTTGTGTGCGTACTTCTTCAGAACGGCAAGATACAAAAATTTAACCGCTTTATTGCATCTACTCTGTAAATCTACCTCCGATACATAAACTGGTTGTTTCTCCAAAGCTGATGGAGAAAGCTAATCATGCAGAGAGTTTAAGACATTCGAAACCGTGTAACGTTTTCAGAAAATTAATCAAAAAACTGGAAATTCTGCTCAAAAAACTTAAGAAGTAAAATGATTCAGTAGTTCAACAATTTTCTATTATTGTCGCTCTTAATTAAAACTTAAGCCATCTAAATTTGTCATACTATGTGTTAGAAAAAAATTTGGTTGTTAAGTCAAATAATCTGATTATTATTTATGTCGGTACTGTACATCTAACCGATCTTTGATTACTACAGAATACAAAACATTCCAAGCATAAACACAAGCGCACACAAAACGCCCTATTCAACTTAAAGACCTCTTCAGCTAATATATTATAGAGTAGAATTTAAAAGACAATTGTAGCCAATTAAAAACTTATAGAAATCATAAAATTTTCAAGACAAAGTAGACTGCATATTTATTTGAAAAAAAATTTTTTTTCTTTAAATTTTTAGCAAACTAT